AGCCTGTTTCCCTGGCATGTCCACTCTCAGACCAACACTCCATGCCGAAATCTGAGGGTGCTTGATTGGTTCAGGGACACAGATGATCAGGGAGAGAATGAGCTGGATTGACTGGCACCAGCTGACCTAGGGGCATGTGATGTGGCTGCCCCACAATGACAGGCAGGGTTGTTGGTGCCCAGACCTAGCCTATAGTGAGGCTGGCAAAAGCTGAGCCCTGATCACTGCTTTGGCTTCCTGGGATGCTGGGCTTATTTTGTCCCTTTATACTGTACTGTCATACAGAATCACCAGAATTAAGGTACTTCAAAACAGCCAACTAGAAACACAGGACACTCACCTAGGAATAGCATCTAGGAACTGTGTTTGGATGCTGAGGCTGGGATTATTCCAAAAGCCCCTGAAGATATAGTGCATTACCAAGCTCTGGGAGTCAGCAGTTTTCCTGTAATAAGATGACTTATTTCACTGAGTTGCTAGAAAGTTGGAAAAGTAATACAGATATTCCCTGGAGGGAAGGATAACTTTGTTTTCACTCATTCATGAGAGCCCACAATATGCAAGACACTGTGTCCTGGGCTTGAAATGGAACACTATTATCCTCAGGTTTTTATAATTCTTCCAAAAATGGGGAAATAGAGCAGACTTTTCAAGGCTTTTAACATTAAAGGACTAGCAAAAGGTTCTATTGTTGTATCAAGACCTTTGTTATAAATCCATAATGTCAATTTTATTCATTTCTTAATAACCATCTGATGCTTTCTGTCTTGCTGGGAGATGTCTCTTGATTTTTCCCTTTGACATTCCCCATTTTATTGTTACTTAATTTAATTTTTAATTAGACCTGTATGATCAGTGATAGGGAGCTGATACAACAAATTCTTTAAGGCTTTTCAGGTTGTTTGATTTTGTAGCATGGGTACTCACACAAAAGGGACCCCTTCATAGCACTGATAGTGACTTGGGGAACTGGCATATATTTGGCAGGTGCTATCTTGATTATTATAAAGCCACTCCCATGTGACTTGTAAACATACACAGCACCTCAGCTGCTCCATGTGGGGTATTCCACTGTGATTTAGCTAGATTAGTACCCCTTTTTAGAATAAACAGACTTGATAGTATTACCCAATGCGCCGGGCTAGCTGTTTCTTGAGAATAATCAGTTGAATGTCTGGATCATGTATATCCATCTGTGACTGTTCAGTAGTGAGCTGTGGGTTTGTATTAATCAAACAGCATTCAAAATCAAAGATAATAACCGTAAATCAGTTACTCTCTGAACTGTGAATTGGACCCATCTGAACCCTGTGCAAAGAGACTTGACTGAAATTTAGTCTGGCTTCCACCGGCACAAGGTGAGTCCCTGAAGGTGATCCCAGCTCCTGTGCTGAGTCTTTAAGAAAGCACAATGCTGCCTATTGTATGTTGTTCCAGCCCGTGTTCCCAAAACATTTTCAGAAATTTTCCACTTTTTGTCTGTATTTTTTCCAATAGCCTCATGCCCCTGAGGTCATTTTTCTGTTCCTATTTTTTATTTGCCTATTTCTCTCTTTTGTTCTCTCTCTATTCTTCCTTTTGAAGCCCAAGTCAAATAAAAAAGAACAGAATACAGCTATAGTCAATATATGGATGACTCTCGAAGACACCATACTGAGTGAAATAAGCCAGAGACAGAGAAATTTATCTTATATGACTGATTTATAAAATAAAATGAAAAAATAATTTCAGAGGGCTAAATTTTAGAACTGAAAATAGGCTACCATAAGAAATATTTTTGCTTGATGATAATTTGTACAAATTTTCAGTCACTATAAGTTTTAATGTTTCCTTTTAAGAGATAGGCTATGTTTAGAAGTTCTTTGGCATTTTCTTGTATTTATTTTAGTTAGCTATATTTGCAGCTATCCCAGATCACCTCTTACTGACACATTTTCAGTGATTGTGCAAGACATGTCGCTGTTTTGCTACTCTCTACATCAACTTGGTCATCTTTTCTCAGTCCTTGCAACTTATCCTCTTTTCTTTGAAGTTTCTGTCTACTTAAAGTTAAAAAAAAAAAAACACAAAACAAAACCCAAAAATACAAATTTCATTGAGAATCATGGCTTATTATATCGAGGAAAAAATCTTAAAATACAAGGGTGATTTAGTGATAACCTTTAAAGTAAATTTTAAGAAATGATTCCATTCATATAAAGTTGAAAAAGCAAAACTTTATGATTGCTAAGTAGGAAAAATGGTTCACTCTAGGAGGAAGTGAAAGGGGCAAAAGGGAAAGTTTGGGGGTGTTGGAAATGTTATAGACTTTGATATAGGTTGTGGTTACATGATGTTTGATTATGTAAACATTGGTCAAGAAAATAAATTAAGGTTTTATAAGTAAACTCATAAACTTAGATTTTATAAGTTAGCCTTTAATAAAAAACAAAGGTAGTCACTCATCGAAATAGATGGCATAACTACTTCTATATAATTCAAGGAAAAACAAAGACAACTCATTTGATACAAGAAGAGGCAAGAAAAATAGGGAAAAGAGGTAGGAAGGATATAGTTAATAGTACACAATAAGTTGACAGACACCTGAAAAATATTGAGCTATGTAAATATCAGACAAAACAAATTTAAAAAATGTTGACTAATGAGGATTTTACTATAAAGAGACCCACCAGAAATAGCAGCTTTCAATTTTTATACATCTATCAGTATAATCTTAAATTATGTGAAGCAAAAATGGACAGATAAAGAACAATTAACAAATCCACAATAAATAGGAAAATTTAAAAATAGTCTTCAATGATTGACAATTCTATCAAATAAAAATGGGACAAGGGAGATTGAACTTCACAAAATAAGAAAAGATTTCCAATCTGTAGAGTTTATATCAATATATTCTTCTCAATCATATACAGACCATTATTACATTATACTCAGAAATGTAAAAATTCTAAATAAAATTTGAGTAGACAAAATTCATCAATTCAAACTATTATATTTAAAGACAAATACATCCCCAATAGGTTGAACTTAGAAATACCCTAGTGATTTGGGCCTCCCCGGTGGTGCAGCGGTTGTGCGAGCGCTGGGTTGCGAAGCTGCCCGCCGCCTCTGAGGCGCCGGTTCGATCCCCGGCTGCTCCCCGGCCACTGGAGGAGGGTCCCGCATGGCACGCAGACCCCTCCTGCCGCCCGCTACTCCCCTCAGCAGTGTACTTCGGTCCTTCTGCCTGCTCTGCTCCCTGCTCTGGCTCTGGTGAATTCTCTCACCCACACTTCTGACTGTACCCAGTGCTTATATAAATAAATAAATAAATCTTAAAAAAAAAATCCCTTAAATAATAATAAAAAAAGAAATACCCTAGTGATTTAATAATAAAAATCTATTACTGCAATCTATTATAGGAATTGAGGTGATGGTTTAACTTTAACTCCTATTCACAGGTGCTTTAAAATTCTCTTTTTTTTAGTTTAGGATATGACCTATATTGAGCTTACTCACCACAGTGGAAATAATGTCTGTACAAAACCAAATGTTCGTTACTTTATGTGCATCATAATTAATATCCAAGCAGTTTTTAAAAACAGGCAACTCAATCAAAACCTACCACTTCAGCATCAATAGCTGCTTTGAATCACAGTACAAAAAGTCTTAAAATTTTAGTGTCCCCACTAAAGTAAAAAAAATCACAAAAATGCCTGCTCCCTTGACCTCTTTCAACATTATGAAGCTATTGCAATAAATCAATGTACCCCACACTTGTACATCTATATGTAGATTCACGCAGCTGGACTTCTCATGGCTGGTCAGTTAACTTTCTACCATTTGTAGCCTTTGAAAATTTATGCCACTTCTTGAAAAACAGCCTCCCAACAATATAGTTTCAAAAAGTGGTTTTGGACATTACAATCTCAAGCAAAAATACTTTCACCAGTTTACAGGCATACTTATTGTATTCTGAGGTTATTGTAAAGAACACATTAGAGCTGTGTAATTTGTTTGAATGGACCCAAAATGTTTTATTTTGCAGAGGTGTGCCTCCTCTTTCAGAAGAGACCAAGGCTGTGTTCAGCGACACTTGATCACGAGTGTCCCAATGTTCTCATGTTTGCCTTTGGCCTAAGGGTGCCATTCTGGGCAATACCTTTATTTTTTTTAAGAGATTGATTTATTTATGCAGACAACAGCTGAGGTGTAAGCTAGAGGTGCAGGCGGTGAGAGGATTCACCAGAGACAAAGCGGGGAACAGAACAGGCAGATCTATTGAAATACACTGCTGAGGGGAGCAGCAGGCCAGACAGGCGAGGTCTGCTCCATGTGGGCTGCTCCCTAGCCGGGATCGAACTGGTGCTGCAGAAGCTGCGGATTGCTTCGTAGTGCGGTGCTGAACCCCTTGTGCCACCCAGGGAGCCTGGGCAATACCTTTAAATGGGAGTTTCAATTCCCTATAACCACGAGCACTTTGAACGCCGAAAAATGGGAGTTGGGGTTGTGGGTGGGCGAGCGATGGTGATGCCTCCAAAGAATTCTTTTCTTCCTAGCCCACCAGCCGGCCCGTCACCATCAAGTCTTCTCTTCCCCTTTGGCCAGGGCAAAGAAAAAAATCGTATTCTTAAAAAAAAACCCCAAACTCCATTTTTAAACTTTTAAATTATTATTATTTCGTTTTCGATTTCTTTTTCTTCTGAGAAGTTTGGGTCACTTTTAGGACTGGGACGCATAATTCTTCTCGTGAAGAGTAAGGGGGGGATTTTCCTTTTTAACCTAACGGCTTTTTACTTTGCGGGGTCGCTTCACGGGTGAAGGAACGGCCCCCACGCCAGCGCCAGCTTGACCACGTCGCAGCTCCGAGCCCAGAAGCGAAGCCGCACTCGGTCGCCCTCCCTGACGACGGGCCGCCCCGGGCCCCCCAGCCAATCAGAAGCAGCAGGGGCCGCCGGACCGCGGCGGCGGACCCCGACGCAAGGGGCACACGCCCGAGCGTTCCGCCTGCGCAGCGACGACGCGCAGCGCGACCAGTAGGCGCCGCCCTCGCCCTCGGAGAACATACTCGAAGGCGGCGACCGGTGCCATCGTCCGAATCGCTCCGCCACAGACCCGCTCGACCTCTCGCCATGGTGGAAGCCGATCGCCCCGGGAAGCTGTTCATCGGGGGGCTCAACCCCGAAACCGACGAGAAGGCCCTGGAGGTGGCGTTTGGCAAGTATGGCCGCATCTCCGAGGTGCTGCTCATGAAAGATCGAGAAACCAGCAAGTCCAGGGGCTTCGCGTTCGTCACCTTCGAAAGCCCCGCCGACGCCAAGGCCGCCGCCAAAGACATGAACGGCAAGTCCCTGGATGGTAAGGCCATCAAGGTGGCGCAGGCCACCAAGCCGGCGTTCGAGAGCGGCCGACGGGGCCCGCTGCCGCCGCGCAGCAGCCGCGGCCGCCCGAGGGGCCTGCGGGGAACGCGCGGCGGCGGCCCGCGGCGACCCCCTTCCCGGGGCGGGCCCTCGGACGACGGCGGCTACGCGGGCGACTTCGACCCGCGGCCCTCCAGGGCCCCGCTGCCCATGAAGCGCGGGCCGCCGCCGCGCCGCGCCGGGCCGCCGCCCAAGAGGGCCGCGCCGTCGGGCCCGGCTCGCAGCGGCAGCGGCGGGATGCGCGGGCGGGCCCCGGCCCCGCGCGGGCGAGACGGCTACGCGGGCCCGCCGCGCCGGGAGCCGCCGCCCCCGCGCCGGGACCCCTACCTGGGCCCCCGGGAGGAGGGCTACTCGCCGCGGGAGAGCTACTCGAGCCGCGACTACCCGAGCGTCCGCGACCCGCGGGATTTCGCGCCCTCGCCGCGCGAGTACACCTACCGCGACTACGGCCACTCCAGCGCCCGCGACGACTGCCCGTCGAGAGGCTACGGCGACAGAGACGGCTACGGCGGGCGCGACCGCGACTACGCGGACCACCCCAGCGGAGGCTCCTACCGAGACCCCTTCGAGAGCTACGGGGACCCGCGCAGCGCCGCCCCGGCGCGGGGGCCGCCGCCATCTTACGGCGGGGGGGGCCGCTACGACGAGTACCGCGGCTGCTCGCCCGACGCCTACGGAGGAGGCCGCGACAGTTACGCCGGCGGCCGGAGCGACCGCTACTCGCGGGGCCGCGAGCGGGTAGGCAGGGCCGACCGCGGGCTCCCCGCGTCCGTGGAGAGGGGGTGCCCGCCCCCTCGTGATTCTTACAGCCGGTCGGGCCGCTGGGTGCCCAGGGGCGGAGGCCGCCCTGGAAGCCGCTCGGAGAGAGGGGGAGGCCGGAGCAGATACTAAGCAGGAGCAGACTTGGGACCCGATGCGTTTGCGAAGAAAGCAGGCGGGAAGAGCCAGTTTATTATGGTAACCACCCAAGGACTACTGCAAGAAGAGTTATTTTCACCTTTTAAGAATTTCTTGTTAACGTCCTCTCCGTCGTTTTTTTTTTTTTTTTTCCTGTGCTTTTGAGAGGAAAAAGTTAAACCTCGTTTTAAGTTCGTTTTGGAATTGTTAACATTTCTTTCAACAAGCTCATGTTAAAAGTCTGACTTGAATCTGCGTACTAGTCTTGTTCTATTTCCAAGTAGACGTTCTCCTAAAGGCTTCCTTCCTTCTCAATTTCTGTGATAAATGAGGCAAACATCTTTTACAAATATCTGCCCACTTACAGTGGAAAAGTGGATCATTCTGTCCATTCAAACCAATTAGATTTCATGGGGGAGAGGGGGAGGAATTGGTGTATGCTACTCCTAAGAATTCAGGTGTCTTTCAAACTGAATCTCAGTGTTCCCGGTGTTTACCAAAAAAAAAAAAAAAAAAAAAAAAAAGAACACCAGCAACATCAGAAACCACTTAGCTCATATGCTTATGTAAAGAAAGTTCTAATAACTCTGTAAATCTAAAAAAAAGCAAATGGATAATGGTGATCATGTTTTGCTTTTTTGCCTTTTCTTTGAGAATCTGCAGAATCTTCTATCCCCTTGATCCCAAAAGTACCATTCATAAATTTCATAAATGTTGAACAAGGATGGAATACTAAATTAAAGATTTGGCCAACCAACCACAGAGCTGGAAAAAACAAACACAAAACAATAGAGTTTATGTTCACCAACAAATTATTAAGAAACAAGTAGAAAATACACCATTGGTGGATTTTGGGGATTTTTAATGGCTTCCATTGCTAACTCCAAGCTGCTTGAGCTTGGCCCTAGAGCCAGCAGATGGCTCCTCTGGAGAGAATTGGGCTGCTTCTCCCTCTCGGGCTTCAGGAATCAAATATCAGCAGCATCAGAGCTCAGAGGCTCAGAGAATCCCTGAGAAAGCTTGGCATTTCAACATCTGAGGATCTCTACCTGTTATGAGGGACCTTGGTGTTTCTATCCACAAAAGGCAAGGGAATGGGTTGACTATTCCACAGTCTTAAGGTGGGGAAAAGACTTGTGTAGACAAAGAGAAACTGTCACATTGCCCTCAGGAGGGAGATCACAGTTTACTTTTTCACCTAAAGTTCAGGGCCAGGAAACATGCAGTACCTGTGGAGTTCCTTCATTTACTAGAGAGTAAGGTAATTAATTGTACGGTCAAGGGATTTTAGCAACCACAGAAGGATCAGGTTAAAGTATTAGGACCCATGTTCAGTGTAATTGCTGGAGGAAAGATGAACACCTGAAAGAGATTTGATTGTAACACACATACATAACTTAAAAACATGAATTTTCAACAAAATAATAAAAGGTCAATTACAGGCTGCAATTGTGACCCAGAAGAGCAAATGCAGGAAATAGCCAAAAAACAAAACAAAACAAAATCCAGGACTCAATCTAGTAAAAACATGTAAGATCTTTATGGAAAAATTGTTAATTTTATCAAAGAACATAAAAGACGACTAAGTAAATGGAGATTCATATATCACGGTTGGTAAGACTTTGTAACTATTCTCAACCTCACAAAATTAATTTGGAAAATCAGATGAAGTTACAACATTTTTCTCACACAGCTCCCCTCCCCTCTTTCCCAGTAACACCATTTATTTGTGTTGCTCAGCGGTGGAATACTAAATATAAGATTTGACTAACTACAAAACTGAAAAAAAAAAAAAAAGCTTCATATCACGGTCAACAAATTATTTTTAAAAATGTAAAAAAAAAATAAAAAGACACTAATGGGAGTATTAGCTAATCCTAAAGCTTATAATGGTGGAATAAAGGACAAGAGGAGCCAAAGCAATTCTGAAAAATGGTAATTAGGAAGGACTCCCCTGCCAGGTATCAAGACTTACTACAAAATTCTGGTAACTTAAGTGGTGTGGCTATCAACAGACCAACACACAACAGACCAACACAACAGACCAAAATAGTCTAGAAATCAGGCCCACTTGTGGGTGAAACATGAGCTATGACAGAGATAGCTTTAAGTCATTGTGAAAGGATGGACCTTTAAGTGACTATGTGCAAAAAGATAAAATGAGATGGTTCCCTAACTCAGCATACACAAAAAATACATTCTAGATGGAGATATAAATGTGAAGAGGAAGTTTTTTAAACACTTAGAAGAAATAAAGAAGAACTGTATCACACTGGGGTAGAGACGCAGACCTAAAAGGAAAATTTGCCATCTCCCACATCATGATTAAAGTATTTTTTATGATAAAAGATTGTTAGTAAAGTGAAATATCAAACTATAGATTGGAAGAATGAGTTGAAGTAACTTCCAAAAGAATGCTTAAAAATCAATTAGAAAATAGTGGGCACAAGAACTCTATCTTTCTGATAGATGTATAAATTGACACAATCCTATTGGAAATAATTCAGGTCATGCCTAGAAAAGTTGGAGGGTGCATACCTTATGCCCAGAAATCCCACTGCAAGGAGAGGACCTAGAGACACTTGCACATGTACATAAGGAAATATAAACAGATTGGTCTTTACAGCACTGTTTGAATATTAAAGTAGAAACGGCCTACCTGGAGTGGATCAACCGAGGTTTCTTTGAAGTTCAATGTAGAAGCTAACGTGAATCAACCAGAACTGCATGTATCAACACGGGTAAATATAAAACTCTTTGGTGTGAAAGGCAAGTTGTGTAAATATAGGTGTAATAAGAAGAAAGGTATGGTTAGAGCAAAACATGAAAAGGGAGAATGTTCAGAGTGAGGAGGAATGAAAGATGGTTGGGTTGAGAAATGGGATTAAGCTAAAGCTAATGTTTAAAAGAGAGGACTTTTAAGCAAAAATGAACATTAGTATCTTAACTTTCTGAGGTCTATACATCTCATTCTATAATATTGAAATATTTTATAATACAAATTGTAATATAAAAATAGAACTCCAGCTGGGAAATAGTTTATTTGTAGAAAAATAGCAAGCGAGCTAGTGAGTTGAGAACTCTTGCTTGTATTTGCTTTCATGATAGAAATGCCACATAAGGTATTTTACAGGACTTGACCCACCTGGGAGTAATTTAAGGAAAAGAGTGTTTCACGTGTTTGCTATCTTGAGTACACCTCCAGCTAATACTGAGACCCCATCCCCACATTGCCTCTGTCCAAAACAGGACTCCAGCATCATCCAGACTGTCTTATGTGGCAACTGACTGCATGATTGAATATTTCCCCACCAACCTGAAATGCAGCCTCAGGCTAAGGTGGGTCCTGGGGCTCTCTTAACAGCTGGAGGTAGACTCCTACTACAGGGCTAGTGGCTCCCCCTTCCCCTAGCCTCAAGCCAGGTAAGAAGAGGAAGGTTTTCTCTCTCTATTCCTTCTGCTTGGGACCTTTTCTAACATTTCTCAGCCTTCAGATATGTGGGGTTCTTGCCACCTCACTTTTACCTTAAAGGTGGTATGATTTTCCTTATCAGAAATTTGCTTTTGGGGTTCAGTTACTGTGTTCTGCTGTTTGGATCATTTTCAAGAATTCACCTAGCAGGATCAGACGGTTGCTTTTGCTGTGCACACATAGAATCTAACATGGAATCTATTGTTAGTGGGGATTCCTTTCAGAACCAGTACTGTTTGTAGTGACATTTCTGAAGTGAATTTCTCTTACAGTGTAGCACATCCAAGAACTCTATAATATTCTGAGTCTAAATGTATTATGAGGGACATTGAAAATGAGAATCAAATAACCATAGAGGAACTCCAGGGCAATGATGATTCTATGGAATGCATTCCACTATTTTTTTTTTAAAGATTTTTTTTTTATTTACACAAGAGCCGGGGTACAGGCCAGATGCGTGGGAGGGTGAGAGGATTTACCAGAGACAGCAGGAACAGAACAGGCAGAGTGACTTAAATACACTGCTGAGGGGAGCAGTGGGCAAGGCAGGAGAGGTCTGCTCACCACGTGAGTTGCTCTGAGGCCAGTGGGGATCGAATTGGCACTGCAAAGGCTGCGGGCAGCTTCACAGTGCTACGCTCAACCACTTGCGCCACCAGGGAGGCCCTCCACTATTTTATTAAAATTTTGAGAAGAATGAAAAATGTCAGAATCTATTAGGAAATTTTTGGAAAAACTTTTAGGCAAAATTAGTGGCGTTTCCCCATGGGGTTTGGAGGCTGCTTGTTATTGTAGAAAGGACATCTTTTGGTCATATCTATGAGTTCTCATTTTGCTATTTATGTGACTTTTATTAAAAATTTTGGCCCTTTAGTTTTGTCATGGGCAAATGATGATGATATAATCTCATCAAATTTTTAAAAGTTTAAAATAAGATAATTCATGGAAAGCACAGGCCACACAGCCTGGAAAGGCAGTGAGAGTTTATTTTAAAGTGATAGGACCACAACTATTTTATACAGAACACAGCACAAAATTTTCCCCAGAAATTATTTCCATTGACCAGTAAAATTGCTTATGTATTAGAAATTCTCAAAAAAGATCAACTGGCGAATTACCGTATTCAAGCTATATTCACCCATGCAGCCTGACATCTTGGAGATATACTTGATTCTTTTTAGCCCCCATTTACTTTTGCTGTCTCTGCTTTCTCTACTTTTTGACAGCTTGGGTGACCAAAGACTTCTACCAGTGGGCTCAGAGACCCATTCTGCATCAATTTTTGAAGTGAGGTAAATAGATTTTATTATCAAGACCTTCATTCTTTCAAATCTTACAGAGTTTAGAAGTTACGATTCTCTGGTGTAATCAATTTACCCCTTAAATAAAGTACCTGGTACAGTGCCTGGATTTAAAAAAATGTGATAGTTATTGTTATTACTTAACAATTGACCTAGGGCCTGGTGCACCTAGAAAACTCCCTGAGTTGCAATAGAGTTTAGTGATGTAGAATAAGTAGTATGGAATCTGCTAGCCTGAATTCAAATTCTAATCCAGTCATGTGTGATGTTGGTCAGATTTCTTAATCACTCTGCTTTGATTGTCCACCTATAAAATATAGACAAGAATGCTCATCTTACGAGGTTGTCCATCTGTTTACTCATTATACCATACCCAATGTTTAATGAATATTTTTTCAGTACCCATTCTATGTCAAATACTGTGCTAATGTGCCAACAAGGCAAACAGCGCAGTAGCACATATACTTGGGTGTTGAATTTATGTTCATTAATAGTCAGACACACATTAGCATTTGGCGGCCTCCCAGATGCAATCTAGGGAATGCAGAGATCTATCAGGATTGAGGGTCAGCATGGGGGAAACAACTCCTACATTGGACTGTGGGGCTTTTGAGTTGTATCATATAGGAAGTACCAGCCATTACTTTGGAATAATTAGGAGTAAAATAGCAAAGTGTCATAGACACTTAGCTCCAACCCACTTGCTGTTCAGTGCTTATGGTTGGAATTTGCAGGAATTAGGCCTTGATAATAAAGTCTCTCTTCCTTCAGACTGGTTAAAAATGGGACACAGACTACTCATGTAGGTGTTTGGTCAGCCCAGCTGTCAGAGGTGAAGAATACAAGGCAGCAGAATACAAGTGGGAGTTGCAAAGTAGGGTTACTATGAGTAACACCTAAGGTGTGGAAGGGCTGGTGTCAGAGTCTTGCAGTTGAAATCACGTGGCAGACTAGAGACAGGATTTGCCACGTCAGCATCCATGACTGAGGAGCAATACCCTTTTCTAATGTCACAACTCTAGACTGATTGTGGCCCAAGCTGTGCAGCTGAAAAAAAATTGTTGTCTTAAAAACTGGGCTTTAAACAGTTTCGTCTGAGTTTTGCATAAGGCCAGTCTTACCTGGGAGGCCAGTATGCTGAGGATTAGTTTTGGACAATTTAATCCTTATCTCTTAGGTAAGAAATGGAGATTCTTTGTTGAACAAGAGTAGACATCATTCATCCTTGAAGTGATTAATAATCAAAAAAAAGATGATAGAGTTTGATTAATAAATTAAAAATTTTAACTATGATGAGCATTATGCAAGATACATAGTGCTATGAGATACTTTAGAACAAAGGTTTGGTGTAGTATAGGATGTCAGGGAATGCATCCTTAAGGAAGTGATGATTGAATTAAGATGTGAAAGATGAGTGAGCTATTGTAGATTGCTGTGAGGGTCAAGTGAGGCAATATATTAAAGCCTGTGGCACATAAAGTTAACTCAGTATATAGAGGCTGTGGTTTTCTAATTGCTCTTCTTTTTGACATCAACATTTTACTGGGCATTTGAGCTACCAGATAAGGGTAGAAGAACACAGATGAATCTGTAACAATTTTAAAAGGCATAGCAGGTGAGCAGAAATGAGGACAATAAAATATGAATCCAAAAATAAGAAACGCAGAAAATATGAGAGCAGTTTGATGTCAAATTAAAAGGAAAAAAAATCAGGAGGTTGGCTGTAGGCACTAGGAAGTAGGCATGGGTTGTCTGGAGGACAATCCTGTATATGCTCTGCTAGAAAGTCTCAATTACCTTCACAGAGAAAATCATTCTTTTTGAATCTGAGATGAATTACATGCTGTCTTTTGTCCTTAAGGAACCTAAGTCTAGTGTAGGTAATATATTGTCCTGTATCAAGCTGCCTAGTGTGAAAAACAGACAGAGATAAGTGCATTGAGGTGGGCAACCTGGTAGGGGAACATGTGAATTCTATCAGAGGGGGGGTTTTCAGTGGATCTGTATCTCAACGTTTTCCCTAAAACAAGGAAGCTCCTCTCTGATGTATGTATCATCTATTTTAAATACAGCTAGGTCCATTTATTTCTATTTGTAGTTATTTTTAGGATTATCCTCATCTTTGTTGATTTGTTCATAATATGATATATTTCTCACAATATGTTTACATGTTAGTTCATTGTTAATTGGAAGCCATCACTTCTGAAAACAGTACTGGTAATCTAAGCTGCGCTCGGCTGTTATATTCCTGGCATTTGAAAGATGGATCTCAGAGGAAGGTTGGATGCAGAGGGCTATCCTATATATGAGAAGGCGTACATTTTTGTATTTAATATTAGATTTTAAAAGCTGGGTAGAGGAAGGTGTTTCTGGACTCTGAGTAGAGGTTAACTCATGAAAACAGACCGCTAGGTGGCACCAAAAGCTTAAGGTTTATAGTTTCATGCTTTATACCCGCTACCTAGAATTTCAGCTCCAGAGCCATTGACTTAATGGCTTTATGACCAAATGCTGTCTGAGCCTCCCTTCAGGATATGATGAAAATGGTATAGAGGCAACTGAAAATTTTCATCTAATCAGATACTGAATGCTCTGTACAGCTGGAAAGACCAGAAGTATATCCAAGTATATACTTAGCTCTTGGAGGCCTTTTATGGCTTCTTATGAATTTTATTATGTTAAAATACTTTTTGTTCTGTTTCTTTGAAGAATGTATCATTGATATTTTAATAGGGGTTTCTTTAAATCTTTATGTCTCTGCAGTCATATGTAAATACAGATATTAAATATTTAGTTTATTAGTGAAAATGATGCAAGCATTTAGCCTATTTAGCACCGTATACTTCAAAAAATAAGAGATGGAGAGAGGTTAAGATAATTTTGACCTACATAACATCTAAATTTGCTTTCTGACTCTTATGATAGTAATAGGAATGACATTTTTTGAGTGATTCCTCTGAGCAGGCATTCGGATAATTTAGTTTTTACAACTCTATGAAATAGATGGCATTTTTATATTCATATTACAGATGTGGAAATTAAAACCTAGAGGAGATAATCAATCTGTCCAAAGTCATATAGGCACAGATATTTGATAGAATAATTTTAATCCAATTAAATGTGCTTAAGATTTTACTTATTAGTGTCTACTACCTTTAAAAAAGAGCCTAGGTCTGTGTGATGTCATTTGATGTGGTTCACTTCTCACCCTTCGGTACTGTGAAAAATTATTAAATGGGGGCCATTCTGTCCTTATCTAATACACATTCATATTTCAAAATTATAGAATATATTTAATGAGAATAAATATATTAAGAATTGGTATATGAATTACTTAAAAAAAATAAAGCTCCATACAATCCCTATTTTCATCCAGTGCGTAATATCTACATATTACTCACGTGTCACACTTTCTCTGTAGAAAAGATGTGGGTCACTGTTGTGACATTCTTTGCTGGCAGCTATCTGTTCTTAAATACTTTTAACACTAGCTTCTTTAAAATTAACATCTATCCCTCAATCATGACAGCTATGGTTGAACTAAGAAATCTCACAATGAATCTTGA